TTTTTCAACAATTGCCTCACACAGATGAAAAAAAACCCCACAATATTAAAGACGGTCAATCTGATTTGCAGCAGCAAAGTTCAGAGGAGCATACGGGCTGTAGGCGGTGTTAGTGGGACACAGCGCCTTCTCATTCTAGGGCACCTAAATCCAGAATTACTCACTCAGACGAGAGGGACAACTATCTGCTAGCTGACTTACATATTAAAAATACTGAGACAGAGCTGATCACAAACAGCATCACTGTAAAGTGAAACTATCCAGACTTCTTGTCACTGGGTAGGAAAAAAGAAAAAGCCAGGAAAAATGTTCCTTAAAGGTTCTGGACAGACAATGTTCAGAGTTACTGATGTAACTCAGAAAACATTTCAAGCTGCTTACAAAGTTCTAGCAGCAGTTACTGAAATTACAAAAAAAAAAGTGTTTTAATGTTTTACAAGATTCCTTAAATTATAAAGCTTTTAGTTCCTTGTCATTGAAAGTTATTCTTCACCTCATTATAATAGGCATATTTCAGCATTTAACATCATTAGAATAACAAATGCTGATTTTAAGGAGTTAAGAGATTAAAAAGATGGTACTTAAAATGTAATTCAAAAATATTACATTATACATGCCACCATGAATCTGCAAACATGCTCAGTTTCATTAAGAAAAAAAACCTCTTGTATATAGCGTGCTTCCTTCATACTGTCAAATTATTTATTCCTTGGGCAAATGAATGAAATAAAAAAAAAATAGCGTGAAATTTTTTATAATAGAAGCAAATTAATTCTGGGCCCCACAAAACCAGTAATAGCCATTTATTTTAGAGGTTTCATGTTTGACCAACAAGGCAGTCTAACACTAACGATTTGCCACCAGTCTTTCAACTAAGTGACAGTCAAGAGTGCTAAGATCTCCAGAAGACACGCTCTCAGATCTTCCACAGAAACACAAAAAAATTTGTTTTCTCCATTAAAAAAAATTACAGCAATCCCACGGAAATTGCAGAGGTAAGACAGAAAGATCTTTTTGCAAGATCTTTACTACTCAGAATTAGTCAAAGCAAAACAGCCATCCTAGTGATAATCCCCTTAGTGCTTCACAGTTTATGCAATAGTCAATTACTAAAGAGGATGAAAGACAGAACAATCTTTGCAAATAGGTCACTGTCTATATTTATAATGATTAAAACCAGCCTGCTACTAAAAGTAACTTTTAATAAGCATAAAAAGTAACATTAAGACAGTGCACGCATTTTACTCTTAAATATATTCCATGTCTCCTGTGACAGAAGAAGAGGTAACACTCAACAGAAAAAGTTATTTCACATAGGTTATGCATTAGCATTGCTCAAAGCAGATTTTAATTTGTCTGTAATGATTTTATTCTAAAGTATCATCCTCGTAAAGGTAACACCTAACCATTCTTGACATGATCTCTCAACTTACCCAACTCTTTCCCTGTCTGCATGCCTTCTCTCTCAAAACTCATTAGTAGACTTTACCTGCAAACACTGCCCAAAGCTCCTTTTCAAGACCACTTCGAATGTCTTCCACTTTTGCTTCAACTCTTCTTTCCTGTTTAGGCATGCCTAAACGTGTAATTTTTTTTTCTTCAGAACAATTACTCAGGGCTCTACCGCACACTGCTGGGACTCCCATCTGCTTCTTTCAAGTATTGTCTGTCTTCTGCTACAGAATTCTCCTCTTTCGAAATTTTCCTTTTTCCCCAATCCCTGGCCTCACCGAGGAGTATTTTCTGCCCTTCCTGTGGGATCAGGACATCACACCTGACATCATTTTCCTAAAATTTTATTGAATTTCATTGATTCTCACGGCTTCAGGCACCACCACCGTGTCAGTGATTCTTATGCCCAGCTGTGCACTCCTGAACCATTTCATTCAATTCCAATTCTACCTGCAGTTACTGTCTCCACCAGTTAAACTGGAGCTTGTTTCCTCTCAAGCCCTGTTTCCTCTAATTACCTCCAGCCTTCCTACAGTTCAAGTCCATAAACTAACATCTGATTCTTATAATGCCTTATGCACCAGAGCTGCATCCAATAGTTGGAATTTCTTTGCATAAAATGTCAAGAATATTCATTACCCAGTCCTTATCTTTCTTTCTCTTGACCAGATCATTTGCTTACATCTTCATTAGCAAATTCTTCTGCTCACACCGTCACCTCTCTATCCTTCATTTCATATAATATTTCAGCTGCTAAAAAATCCTTCCTTTATGCAGTACTTTGGAGAGTCTGGATCTTCCAGTATTTCCACAGCCAGCAAGCCCATGAGCTCGAGACTGTACAGCTGCAGAACCTGCACTTCATTACTGGATAGTCTTCAGGGAATAATGTAACCACCTCTTAGAAGAATCTCATAACAGAAGCATTCCTCTGCATCTCATACATTTGTACTTGGGATACTGAAAACACACTGAAGGTTGGGCTTGGGCTGAATACTATCACCTCAACCCCACCAAAAAATCACCTACACAAAGGTATTAAGGTCACTCTAGCTTCTAATCTTACAAATTTAAGAGAAAACACCTGTAGCTTAGAGTTTATTATAATGCAGACTGCCTAAAACTGAACTCCACAGCAGGTAGGGGAGGGAGAACCACATTCAGTCTTGTGAAGTGAAATCCTGTTTGTGCATGAAAGCTGGGAACTTGATGTTCTGACTACAGAATAAGAGCAATAAAAACAGCTTTCTGAGCCATTAATTTCTGCACAGCTGATTTCTACTAAACAATGCTCATTATTGAAAGAATTCTAAAAAAACGCGAGGCTGTTCCAGTGGGAAGGCTGGCACTCTGAATATCTAGACTGAGCTAACGGTGACATCAGTGCTACTACTGCTTTAATCCCTATGGCTACTAAATGTCAAACATTTTCATTGTATTTAAAGAGCTTGTGATTGCACACGATGAGATTAAGTTACTTCATTTTTAAAATAAGACACAGTGAGTATCTGCATTCTTGTTGCCCAAGACCACGATAACGGCAAGTTCGTCAGTAACATCAGTCAGAAACTGCCATGCTTTTTTCCACAGCCAAAATACAGTATTTTTAGGATTTGCAACTTTTAAGCACTGTGAAAACTCCCATCTTCAGACCTTCCATAACCCAGTGAAGTCTACAAATCTGTGCATAGCTGCCCCACTCAAATCCAAACTTATAAACACAATTATAAAAGTAGGGTGGGGTTTGTGTTAAAGTATTTGGGGGGGGGGGGGGGCAGGGAGAAAGGTGAAAAGGCTAAGTGTCACTGCATCAACAGTCACAAAGTCCAGTGGAAACTGAGCAGCGGGCCACATATTTCTTCTTGTTTGTCAAAAGACACCCATGTAACATTAATTTCATCTACTTTAGAGAAGGAGATGCATCAAACTATAGTCAACACAGTAGAAGGAACTGTCTTAACATACAATATAAACTTTAGTGTGGTAAACTATTTAAAGTAGGATATACTTTCTAAACATTCCTTAGTATTTTCATTTGTTTGGCCATCGATTACTATGGCAGTAGATGGGCTACTACACATACTTCTAAAATAAATATCTAATAATTATTTTATCCTTCCAAGTTCTAAGTGGCTCATATCAACTACAGTGAGCTAGGACACTTCTGTAAAGAAGTGCAAGAGAACTGATCAATCTTCACATTGTATAAGTGAGAACTTCAAGAACGAGGCCAAGAGTAGAGTAGGATATTGAAAAACTACTGATTCTGAGTATTTCAATATATATATGAGCTCATACAGTTCAAGACTACATAAAATACCCAATCGATCTTTAAGATCTTCCCACACTCACTCATTAGCTAACCAACTTTGTCTTAATTGTGTCTTATTAGCAAAGTACTGATTCACAGCTCTCCATGATAAGCTTTTGATTTCTAAAGTTAGCATCAACTTTTACTCGAATACCACACCTGAGCGAGTTCCTTTGGTACTCTGAATACATGCTGGCAAGCGGGATTTGCTATAGTGATCAGTTTGTACCCAAGCAACAACATTACAGAGTAAGAAAGTTCAAGACTAGGGAGCTTCTAACCTTAGAATTCTAAAATAATTTAACATCTCCTTACAGAAAGATTGGGGCGGGGGTGAGGTGGGGGAATTATCTATATACACACATACATAATTATGTGTATGTACACATACATCATCAGTTCAAGAACAAACCTGGATTAAAATAGAGTAATTAACTTGGTTACCTGTACCAGAAGTGACCTGATTATCTAAGTCAGAGTGCTAATCTTTTGTTGGGGGTGGGGGAGGCCTGTTAAAAAAAATTAAAAAGTGAGAGACACCACTTTACTAAGTAAAAAGGCCATCAATGCTTAGCTTTAGCCTGAAGTGGGAGTACATCATTCCTGAGATTCTTCCATACTAATTAACAAACTCACATATTTTGAGTTTTAATCCAGAGTAAAGCAGAGAAGCAGAATTGGCAAGGCTGACTCATTACAACAAGAGTCTACAAATAAAATAATCAAGCCAGAAATTAAACTCCATGTAAGTCTTAAGTGTACCATTTTTAAACTATTAAACCAACCAATACATCAATTTACAGTTCTTATCTATAGACTATCTATAGACATACTTAGGAAAAGCTGACAGTAACTAGCACTATTATTTCAACAAGCCAAGAAGCGAGGAGTTATTGCAGTAGGCTCCCTTCCTCTGGAAGAAAATATAAACTCAAATTCAGTGTCATCTCAAAACAATCTTAATAAAGAAAGAACAAAAGCGTTTCTGTAACATTCAATCACAGGATAATGTAAATGAAATTAATCCCCAAAGCAAAGTATTTCTGCAAGGAATAGGGCTATACACATCAACTGTTTAGACTTCAATAACCAGTTCATACTGAGATAAGACATTTTTACTTAAACAATCTGAATTTATTAGGAATAAATCTCAAAACAGTGGCAAGCAATTATGGCAATAAGGAAACAAAAGAAAAACACACACACACAAATCTACAGGGACTATTTTTTATCTTACCTGCACTTGTTCTGTGGAGCTACTACTGAGTTCATCTCCAGACTCCGAATCCTGGTGAATTTTTTCTGAGCCTTCTCCTGCTGAATCACAAGATTGTTCATGCAAAAAGCTGGTCTTCTCTATTTCCAAGAACTCTGGACATGGGAAGTGACCCATGGAAACGGTTCTATACTGATTAGAAACCTTGGGAGACTGCAATTCATTGTTAAGTTTTCCATTGTTTTGGGTAAGGTCCAGACTCAAACCAAGAGTTTGACCAGGACTATTGTTCGGTCCCAGATTTTGATTGGCATCTCGAACTAAGCAAGACACTTGAACTGGAGAAGATTTTCCAAAACTAGAAAGCTCTGGTGACTTATTCACATTTTCAGTTGATCTCTGTAATCCATGTGTCAGCTTCGAAGAGTTATTTGGCAGCATGCTTGCTTGCTTAACAGGTGGCATCAGCGCTTTTCGTGGTATTTCCTTTACATACTGTGCTGGCACATAAAAGGGTTTGGAATTTTCATCTCTTTTGACTTGCCACCAATCATCGTTAGTCTTTTTCACTAAGATGTATTTCTCCCCTTGCTTAATCACAATTTTCTTGTCTTTGGCCTCATACTCATAGTCGTACTCCACTTCAATGTACAACTGTCCTGGAAGGATCTTCCCACCTTTATCAGCCATTTCTATTTGGAAAGATTTCACCTTTTCAGGCAAAAGGTAAGCCACATTCTGTTTCAGAAGTGTTATTTTCCTGTTAATAATCAGAGCTGTAAGAAAAAAACATATATATGTAATAAAGTAATTGTCTAAGAGCACTTCAGAGGAAAATAATTTCAAGAATAACCCTGCCTATTCAATTTATGTCAACCTCAGACTAATAAATTTATGGAAAAAATGCAGGATGTTCAGGTACCTTTCTCAGTGATAAAACAGAAAGTCAGCAGAACAACTTAATCACCGATTTAACTCTCCTATTCACACAAGCCTCCTGCTACCAAGTTGCTCATTAAGCCTGTTGTTTCTATTACTAAATAATGTTGATCATCAGGGGCTTGGTGGGGGGACTAGTCCGAGTCAATCTCTTGCTTACACACGGGCTTAATTGCTTCACGGAACTGTGTTACTACACTAGTTTTAACCAAAATATTCAAAAGGAGAAGGTTATTATTTGCTTGTTTTGATTCCTCTTAAGTTCAATAGTTCCTTCAGAGTGCTCAAAATTCATTACAAAATCCCTTAAATCTTTCTCTAATGCTACACCCCAGTCATCACGTTCAGCATGGGCTGGCAGTCCTTGATCCATGTACACTGCACACTGTACAGAACCTTCTAACCTTCACCTAACAGGAGAAGATGACTAGGGAGCTACGCAACCCATACTGGCTGAGGCTGCAGATCAGGTTGCCTCTGCATCTAGCTGTTGTCTATATAGCGTGTGGTATAATCACTTTTATTTATTTCCTTCAATTGCTAGTATAACTGCAACATAGAATTTCATCTATAACCATGGTAGTACTAAATAAAAGTATTTAACGTTTCCAAGATACTTTGGTTTCAGTGGTTTAAATTCTGCATATTTACTTTGCTCTTAGAGAGCTTTTTTTACCTTACAGAAAACCTGATCTAACCAAAAGCTTAAGGGCTAAAACAGAAAACACAAACAAAAACCCCAACAATAACGAAACAGGAGTACGAACCAAAACCAAAAATGGATAATAAATGAAAGGGTAATACATGAAAATTTTGAAAAGAACTTTTAGCATCTTATAATCCAGACAACCACCATTGTATCCGCACCCATGAACTACAAGTTCTCTCTATTTAATCACGTAGCATCAATGTCACAATTCATTAGTGGATAAGCATCAGTCTTGCCAACTTACACTGACCACAACATAGTAAATTAACATGAAAGATATGATTTCTTAATCTTGAAAAATCAAAGCATGTAAGTAAAGGGGAAGATCTCTAGCAGTTAAATAGAATGTAGGAGAATTCAAGTAAAATGCTGCCACATTTAATCTTATAAAGACTAACAAATGAATCTTTTTTAAAAATGCACATTTCATGAATGAGAAAAATTACGTAGAAACTTGCAGCTCTGCAAGTTAAGACTTTGCGATGAGATTTGTAGCGTTTACTCTGCCACAGAGTGGAACTAATGCAATTCCATGCAGGCACACACACACAGTGAACTCAGCTACCCTAAACGGGACTAAGGACAGAAACAACAATAAAAAAAGGACTTCTGGGAGAGCTGAAGCAAAAACCCCTAACAGTTCATCATTTTTTCTTTCACCATTTCTGCTATTTGCACTGAGCCTTGGGGAAAAAAAAAATGCATTTCCCACGTAACTCGGTAGAAAAAGAAGCAGCTAAAAAGCTCAAGCATGATGCCAGGATAAAAGTGCCCATCTTTAAACTGTGTCTTTCTCTCCCACAGTCCATCTTCTTTTACTTCCAGGAAGTACTTCCTATAGGTAACTTAAAAACTACCATCATTTACAAGAATCCAAATGGAATGACAAGGTCAGACTTACAATTTCATTGAGGACTTGGCAGAAGGAATGACAGTTCCACTTTGAACAAAGCTGACAGTAGGAACACAAAGCAGTAGAAAAGAATGCTAGGATTCTGGCATTTACTCTCTCTACCATAAAATGGTACATTGAAATTCACAGCATTATAGTCTATTTACAGCCTCTGTACAAAACAACTTGCTTACCTTCTGTTCTACATAAATAGGTATTTTTAAGTGCAATTCTGCACTTGTTTAGCAACTGCAGCAGAAGGTAAACATGAACAAATTGCAGCCATTCCCACTCTCTTCCTAGTTTTGGAAGCTCTGCCATACAAGTGTTATTTTTTCCTTGTTACTAAACCTGACTCCTCCCAACACTTCTTCAAAGCTGCTACCAACCCCTTTCACCACTTCAAGGTCATATACCAGAAAAATGCAAGTGTTTCCCAGTTACAGTCTACCTCTGAGGTCTACTACCTTGGAAGTTGAAATGTAGGATGAGGACCCAGTCACACTGTTTTTCCTTCTCCCATACAGAAACCCAAAAGAGAACATAAGCCTACGGTTTCCCACAGGGCTACCAAGTGTTTAAAAGCTTGGATTTTTCATTTCTTTTTTGCCAGTTCCATATAACTATTTATTGAGAATGTATGCTTAACATTTTTTCAAGAGAGATAGGTTCAGTAAGTTGTATTTTACACTTAAAAAAACCCAGAATTTTGAGAAACACAAGTTAAATAAAATACAGTAGCTACAAAAATAGCTCTATCCACTTTTGAAGCCAGTTTTGTGGCCTCATCCCTTTCTAAAAAAAAAAAAAAAGAAAAAAAAACAAACAACAAAAATAAGCAGCACAATTTTTTGTTCTTTCATCCAAGCTGCAAAATTATCAAGTCAATAGCAAACATTTGGTAATGTTGAACATACGATCAAAAAGAGACAGGCTGTGTTTTGTGTTTGGGAAGAACACTAAAACAGTTTTATAAACAGATCACATCATCAGGATCAAGGCTCTAATTCTCCACCTCAGAGAGAATCAAGAGATACCTACGGCACAGGTGGGAAATCTGTCTCCGTAAGCTTAACAAATATGAACATTAACCCCATAGGTCTGCAAGCAACTACCATGGCCTTGATTTCACAGATCCAAATGCATTAAGTTTTATTTTGTTTGAATTTTTTTAAGGCAGCTGTTGTGCCACAGAAGGTGGCCTGTTCCTGATGCGCAGCCCAGGGGATAGCCAATTGTCATGTCCTTTCAAGGGTCCATGTATGTGTCTCATAGAACTCGGGTTAAAGAGCCACGGAAGCCTTGGCCAAACCTCTCCTGTTAAGGGGCTTAGAATAATTCAGATGTGAATTCACAATATTGACATTTGGAGCACTGACTTCACTGTGCTACTAGTCAACAACTGAAGCAATACAGTGAGGTTACAAGGTCTGACCTGCCACACTTTTTTTTTCCTTTGCCATTACCTGTAATGCTGGGTGGCACCCACCTTGGTAAAGAAGGTTGAAGCACCCTAATTAGAGGATGATAAGCATGAAAAATTATCTACTTCCACAGAGGACATCTACAAGCTTTAATACCTTAAATAAAGCCTCAACACCTGATTAAGAGGTTAATAACAACGAACAGCGCCACTAACAATAAAGACCTAAGAAAACTTACTCACGAGTACCAAACAACAGACTCAGGCCACACTTTTCTTCTGGTAAAGTAACACCCGAATGCTACAGGGTAACTAATTTAAGGTGGGCGACATCCCCACGTGGAAAGACGTTCCACCCTTTCACGGAGCATTCGTGCTGCCCTAAAGAGGGGACACCCGTGATTACGTACACAGCCCCGGCTGCGAGACCCGGGGCAGCCCAGCACCCCGCCACGCTCAGGCGGCAAGCGACGAGAGGATCTCTCACGCGATACCCACGCGCGGATCTTTTCGCCCTCCGATGGGAACCGTTCCCACCTCTTACTCAGCTAAGGCTGAGCAAGGCTGGCAACCCTCGGCGTTCGCAGAGGTCAGCTCCTCCCTCCGCCCCCCCGCCCCGCGGCCGCACAGCCCGCTCCTCCCCGGGGCCGGGCCCGCACCCCGCCCCTCCGCGGCCTCTCCCCACGGTGGGATGCAGACGTCGCATCAGGGGTCTTGCGCTCGCCTCTGGCTAGATTTCATGTACATCCACACAAGTCGGGACCTTTCCTAATGAGACCCCAACGTGACGGCTTCCGCCACCCTTAGACGGGCTGGGTTTGGAGAGCTTTGGGTTTGCTCAGGGGCAGGCCTTTCCTCGGGCAACTTCAACCCTACAGCAACGCGGTCACCTCCGTCACTGCAGAACGATGCCCACTAAATTGATCTTGAAGCACATGCAAACGGTCCTGAAAGAAACATGGTCCTAACGCACACAGACGTTATATATGACGTGTATGTAATCGCATACATGTATGATGTGTATATAATATGATCATATATCCTATTAGATATGATGATGCCTAACACTTCAGCATTATCCCAGAACTAAAGACAAAAAAAAAAAAAAATCAGGAGGTACACAATAGGTGTTTCATACCCCTCTTTTGAAATTATCAGGCATGGAGTATTTTCTTCTGATCTTCTAGAACCAGGTAATTGAGACGTGAGATGTACTAAAAAGACTTTTTTGCTATTTCTTTTATTTTCCTCTTGGAAAAAGCCTTACTCACTGCGGCTATGGAATTGTTACTTACTTTATAATACAAACAGATGAGAAGTTATTAAAAATGCCACTGAGGATATTAACCAATCGCCTTAAAATTCTTCCTGTGACCTTGTTCACAGTGTCCTACAAAGCAGCAGCAGTTGACTTGTGTAATCTTTTTCCATTTTCAGCATCAAACTTCACCCACTACTGAAATGAACCCTTCCGCAGTGCTGATACGGAAATAAACTCAATTACTGAAGCTAAATTAGTATAAATTCTTACCAGTTCAGGCCAGATGAGATACCCTGGCTACAGCTCACTAGATTCTACGATTCTGCTTCTCCCTGGGCAGTTTTCTTAGGGGTTCAAGCCGTACTGCGTGACCACTGCTTGGGAGACTGGTCCCACAATAACCTTATCAGAACTGAACCCTGTTCATACCTTTCTTCCCAAGGGGCACCACTCTTTATCCAGAACAACTAACTCCTCAGCTGATATTTTCACACAGACAACCAGCCCTCAACCGGTACCTGTAAAAACCACCA